AGTTTCTGCATGTTTTATCTCCTAACTGCCAACATCTCCACAATGTACTACCTATGAGGGTTTACTCGTTCTGGTAAAAGTTAAACAATCCGACCCCCCGACAGACGTGAAACAAATTATCACTATGTCTGAAAATATTTATAAATTTCAATAAAGGTTTAAATAAGCTTCTTATTCAAAAAGAACTTGGAACACAAAAGCCTGTTCTTATGCTAACAAAATCAATTACAGTTTGTGGTGATATAATTAAACAAGTCAAATTCAAACTAAAAATATGGACTAGTGGTTAAAGACTATACAATTTAATCTGGTTCAGTAACTCTATTGTCATAATAAACTCAAATGTCAGCAGCAGTAATGGAAAGACTAATAATTACAAATTATCAGGGCTGACAGAACTAATGCAGGGAGCAAGTGGAGGTCAGAAACACACTCGTCTTACACTACAAAAACCTCAGTTTAAAAACTCTGATTTGCATTCTGGTGAGAATGGGAAAATATAGTAGAAATAGAAATGGGAAAATATAGTAAAGGCTGAAACTGTAAATAACTGGGTAATTTAAATTTACATAATAACTCTACATATATATTTGATGAATAATTTTCTCTCTTTACATACTTAGTTTTTTTTTTTCCAACACGTTTCCTTTTCACTTTAAATTTTTGGGATTTAATTAAAGACTTCTGTTATTCTAAAAGACTAAATGAATTTAGAATGTATGGAAAAAGCTGCTAATTTTATTTCTTTAGTAATATGAACATTCAGAAGAAATATGAAATACATATGGTAAAGTCTGGTCACAGAGCTGGTGTGGCATAATTTTTAGAATTTAGGGACATACTGAGCAACAAAATCTAGAAATGGCAAAACTTTTAGAATTTAGAGCAGGCACTGGAAGCAGAATTTAGAAAGGCACCAAGCAGCAGAATTTAGGATCCACAGAGACTGTGTCAGGTGGCAAAATGCCTAGCGCCAGCTCTGTGTATGATGCATTAAGACATATTAGATGAATCTTTCGAGTCAGTTTTCAATTTCTTTATTAATAAAAAATTTCCTTTCTATAATGCCTGTCTATATGATAAGATTAGAAGTACTTTTGATATTTTCCATGTTTATATCTAGTGAATACGAGAGAAAATAAAGGGAAGATAAAAATGTTAATAAAGCGATTCTAGAATCAGAAGTAAAACATTCAACTATTATGTTTTCATTGTTCTTCCAGATGTTCTCCAAAATGTAAGAAACAGCATGTTACTACAATGGAGACATTTTCCTGGAATCTTTTCGAAATGTGGGTCTATAAATTTGCCTTAAAATCTTTCCAAATTTCAATGTCTAAAATCCTAAAAAAAAATTACTCCTACCAATTCTGTAACAGCAAAAACCCAGAAATGTTTTTTAAAAAAAATTGGAGGAAAAAAGTGTGAAATTAATTTTATAGAGAAAACTGATGCATTTCTGAGAATTCTGAGAAATGGGGAAAATTCTTACCATGAAAAAATTAAAGACATTTTCAATTAATTAAACAGCTATTTTGCTCTTCCTAAAAACTGTTTTGTAAACTGTGCTTTATAGCATTATTCCTTGCTTATTTTTCAGATTCAAAAACTTGTATAAAATGTGGCCAAAATGGAACTTATAATGACAGTGAAAAATAAAAATGCTTTATTTTAATGTTATTTCTTAAACATAATCCCAATATATTACCATTATTTTAATAAAATTTATCAATGTTAGAATGCTCTAAAAAAATCGTCAAAAAATTCCCAGATCTCTGAATTAAAAATTTTTTTATAGAAACCAATCTTAAAATCACCAAATTTAGAACCGTTTAATAAAAGAATTCACATCCCCAAAAGCGGAAAGTTGTTTGAGAGCTCTTCATTACAAAAAATGAAATAATTTTGAAATGCTTACGTTTCAGTTCTTGCTCAGAACCTCGAGTATCCCACCATTATTTATATTACAAATAGAACTCATGAAACCATTCAAAAAATAGCCATATTTGTCAGTGAATTGACAAAAATATTCCTGTAAAATGCTAATTCACACTCAAAATGGCAGTCGTAAAAACAGACAGAAATTTCAGATGATTAAAATTAAGGACGTTCTGCCGATTTTGGCCAAAATTAAGGACTTTTAAGAACCGTACAAACCCTGGGTAAACATTCTATGTAATTGTATGCCAGTATTGAAATAAACAATCAATCTGATAAGAAATGGCAGGAACTTGTTTTAAAAATGAGGCATGAAAGGTTACCAGCGGGGATATTCCTTTTGGCATCAAATGTACCATATTTGGTGGCTTCATCGCCTGCACCGGCAAAACGGAAAAGTACCCAAATTTTTTTGACTTGAGTAGGAAGAAGAGCTGTAATTGTTAGGGCTACTTCCTTTAACTTTTCAGGCTAGATTTTTTATAAATTCTAAAAGAGGTGTCTTGCAAGAGCAATCATATTTATCTATTTCGTGAAATGCTGTTTTTAAATCTTGTTTGTATTTTTTTCATTTTTATATCTAACGACTCTTGGTTCTTTATTTTCATTCGCTTTGCTTTGCCTTTTCAATATTATCCAAATATTTCTCAAAATCCAATTGGTCACTGGAAGAGGATGATAAAAGACTTAATTGCAATGTCTGCAGTTTGACTGTCCTGATTTGAATACTCCAATTCTGAGAATAATTTCATTTGTAAAAAAAAGTTCATAGATTGCTTTCTTTGCCTTTTTAATTTGTTTGTCATCCAACAAAATTTAGGGTTAGAACTACATATATTGAACCCAGCACTATCTTATTGTCTAGCAAACCAGTTTCTCTTTCCTTCATTGAAGAAATGATTCCTTCTGCAATAAACCCTCCATTTCAGAAAGAACAAACATCATATTTTCCCCTCTTGTTAATTCTTCAGATTGTAGTAGCTTTTTGGTGGGTATATATGGTATAGAAAGAAGAGTTTTCGAATTCATTCCAGTCTTTCTGTTAGTGAAATATTAGGGTTATCTACCATGCTTGTCTTTTGTTAATTCTTCAGATTGTAACTTTTTTGTGGATATATAGTTTTGAAAGGGGTTCCAGTTCTGCAAGATCATTCCACAATTTTTCTGTTAGTGAAATATTAGGATTGTTTACATCTTCTGACCACTATATCATCAAATATGTACTTCTCCATTGCATTGCTTCTTTTCCTGCTCACTTACTAAGAATGGCATCAATTTTGGGAGTTCTTGCTGCTTACCTAAATTGTAACTAAATGAAGCAGTTTAATCAATAATGGCAAATATCACATTCTCCTCCCTTTCATTTATTAACATGTCAATAAAATAGAAAATAACTATTTATTAATGTATACAGTCCAAAAATAAAAATATTGACTTAATTTGTCATCAATTTTTTTTTCAATTCACTTTAATTTCATTTCAAATTCAAACTGTTCAACAAAAACTGGAGCCGGAGTCTATGTGTTTTTTTTAGGGACTCCCAACTCCTTTTAGGCAAAAATCTACCCGACTATACAGCCCTGATTAATACAACAGTACAATAAATTCCTCACATTACAATTTAAAATAGATTTTATTTCAGATATTTATTGGCAAATGCAAGAACTAAATCATTGGGAATAGATTATTCAATTTGAGTCTCTTTGCTTTTATTACCTATCCAATTCTTTATATTATTCTATTTTTGGAAATGAAAAATATTTACAGAAATGTACATACACTTAAGCAGAAAACATGACATTCAATTCAAATAACAGGAAACTTTACATTATTGAAAAATAAAAGCAGGTACTAATTAAAAATATATTTAATTATCAATAAGCAAAGCAATTTTAATACTCTATGGCACGGAACACTTCTTCAGTAAATTAGGCAAACTAAACTACTAAACATGTCAAATTTATAGATGAAAAATCAGAAAGTTTTTTAATATTCAAAGCTAATTAAGTTATATTATACTTTACAATAAAAAAGTCTTATATTACATTTAAAATTCTTCCATATTTTACATAATGCAGAGATATAACTCAGATTATATTAAAGGAGAAAATAATTTTTAAAATTTGTCAAAATTATGCTACACTTTTCCATTTAAAATGTAAAGAATACAATATTTTTCTTTAAAATATTCCATCAAAACAGAATCACAACTTTTAACACATTCAATTTTGATTAAAAAAAGTTTATTAAAAATAAAGTTAATGAATTAAATATTTAATATATATACACAGAAATATAAAATTTGTTATAAAAAGTTTTTTTTATTCAATATTTTGAAATGATAAAAAAGGCGCGAAAAATAATATGGATATAGCTACACTATAACAGATACATTAAGAAATGTTTTAGAATCTTAACAGACCATGTTTCCATAAATGAAAACCCCGTTGAATTTAGTCTTCGAGAATAGAAAATGGCTTCCTTTCTATTAACAATGATGACTAGCAAGATTCTAAAACAAATCGAAATCATAATTCCTACTTGTACATACAATACCACAACTATCCCCATGTCCGATCCTATCCATAGAGTTAACATTGCTATTGACGTATAACGTTAGCGAATACCCAACACAGCATTTACTAGGAATGTATACAACTAAAGCCGTATTGAAAACCATTGCGAGATACCATTTCGAAAATTCAAAGTTTCATTAAATACAATACATATTTTTGCATATTCAGATTACAAAATCATTACCTCAGATCTTGAACTACACTTTTTCAATTATAAATAGTATAAAATAATCTGTGACTTTTTACAGAACTTCGTGTTTATAAACCTTCTAATTCGATCTTCCCCAATAGAAACACTATGGCGTCCGAAGCGCCTTTGTACCTATGGAGAAGCTTGCTATCACTCGCATCGGCTGACTTTGCTGTCAAACTAATTATCTCTCGGTAGGTATGAAAACTGGCAAAACTCAAAGAAATGGATAATTGAAAAATGAGACTGTTCGGGAAAGTTATAAAAACAAATCAGAATGCAAAACTAATACTTACATTGAAATTTCAATGATAGTCAAAACAGCCAAATCAACACGAACTACTCACTCGCTTCCACTAAAGAGCTCACGCCGCCGTTACAGAGCGCTCCAAGTGAGAGTTCACAGTAAAGGCAATAGCTATCATTGGTCGAATTTGTACGAACCGCACAAAACTATCCAATTATAACATAGCATTGCTTTAACTGACACGATCACTCCGCTATTTTAGCCTATTACAGGAGAGAAGCGAAGTAGAGACGGAAAAAGCGGGAAAGATGTAAGCAATAGTAAAACATGCGGGATGATATGGTTAAATTATCGCTTGCGTTGTCTGTGAACGTTTTATCAGATTTTTAAATTATTCTTATCATTAAAAATTTCTTAAGATGTTTACAAAGTCCTTAGAGTTTTCTCTTTACTTAATTTTTCGCCAAAATTCTTTCAAAAATCATTAATTTTCATGACAATATTTCACAAATATTATAACACACTTAAAGTGGAAAGGGAGTAATAACCTAAACCAGTGATCTTCAAACTATGCTAAACAAAATAAAAATTCGGAAAGAAAAATTATAAAGCACTGATTCTAGTTGACTAGTGTTCATTAACTAAAAAATATAAAGATACATTAAGTTATGAAATATAAAAAAATATAAAGATACATGTGGTCATCATATGTCAGAGAATGGCGTGTAATGCTTTGCAAAACTAAACAGTTTTCTAATGGAAAATGAAGTGAAATTTAGAGGACATTGTTAAAAATTATATAATGGAACACCTTTTCAATTAAAGAAAACTATAAAAGAATATTTCCTGAATGAAAAAACTTAGAATGACTGGAAAAAAGTCTTTTTGAGTACTAGGATAAATTAAAAGTCTTGCTAATGAAGGAAAAGGAACAACTTATTGACACATCAACAGATTCTATGTTAAAATCTAAATTTAAGTGAGAGGAACACTTAAATTTTTGTTTGCTTGTAGATTCATGTAGAATATCTAAAAGCTTCTCACACACTTATAAACATTTTAATACCATTCACAACAATGTTTAAGGGGGAAAAAATCTGTTGCAACAAATTAAATGCATAATATGAAATGCAACTGCAAATAAGATAAATAGAGCTAGACTTGGACAGTGTGTGTAAAAAGAATACAAGCACACCCCTGTCACTGAATACAATGCAAGGGTAGGTGATACCTGGCGAATGAGTTATGTTATCATTGAGTACAATACATTAATTTTATGTTAAAATTTTTAAAAAAGTATAATATTTTTCTTTAATAAAGTATCTGTATTATATTGATCTACTTTAAATATTATTTTAAGATATATTTTTGTAAGGATAGGATGGTTTTCCCCCCAAAAAACCTCGCAATTCTAAGGGTTACATGTTTGGAGAAAGACTGAAGACCACTGATCTAAAATAGCAACATTCGACATTAAATCTTGAAAATTTTTACAAATGTTTGGAGTCAAATACAAATTCTATTCAGAAGAAAATTAAATCAGATGAAAAAGTTACGGATTTAAAATGGGACAAGAAAAAGAAGTACAACGATGTTAAACACAGTCAATACAAATTAACAAGCTGTGCCAAAGACATTAAAAAATTACTTCACATTTTTTAATAAATGCAATATAAAATACACTAAATGTGCTTTAAGATTTTAGACTTCATACAACCTCCCTGAGACAACCACTTATAATTCTATAAAGTTTTGACCTATGGAGCTAACTGCCTTACACAGGAGGTACTTAATGCTGATATTTATTCATATTCTAAGAAATAGTGGTCATTTTTGGAAACAGATATCTTGAGAGGTTACTGTAATCTGATAGTCCCTTGATAGGAATATGGTGGCAATTTTTCTTTGATAAAGAGAACCTAAAGAATTCTTACTAATTTTACTACAAACATTATTCAGTTAAATAACTGAGATGAGACTAAAATAATGCAGTTAAATTGTTTATTAATTTAATAATGAAGTATATAACCAGGCCTAATCAAATCAAAAGATCCCCTTATTCATATATCATGATGAACTTCAAATGTATGATCATATAACACAGATCTGCTATTCAGGTAAAGTGACCACACATCCCGATTTTGGCGGGACAGTCCCACGTTTTGAAGGACTGTCCCGCATCCTGCCGATTTTTAAACATGTCCTGCTTTTTAGAAAACATCTGCATTTCTTATTTTAAATGAACTGTAAAAATATATTATATATTATTTATTAATTATTATAGTGAATATAAAGAAATAAAAAATACATAAATAAAAAAACACATAAAATGGATGCAGAGTAAACTAAATTAGGCGATGAGTTAGATTTACTTGGTGGTGTTCTATCATTTTTGTTATGTCTCGCCAAGGAACATGTATTGTTAATGGAAGAACAGCTAGCATTAGCTGAAGAGCTATTTGCTTTCCACCCATAAACCACAATTAAAGTTTCACATCAATTGATTGTACGTCGCAAATGATCAAAACATCATTGTACGACAAAAAATTTGTATGTGCAAGGACAAAAGTCGAAGCAATTATTTGTAATGCTTTTTCACTATAGTATTCATTTTCACAATTGCAGAAAAATAAATGCACATTTATATCCATATATTATGATAGTTCCAAGCACAAAAATTTAAAATTATTTCCTACAATTGTTAGACTTTTTGATCAAAAAACAGGAATTAAAATTAGAATATTAGATTTTGTTTCATTCCTGGGTGAAGTTTCAGGAATAATTGATTGAATAAGTACTATTTTAAAAAAGAGTAATTTGAACAATAAAATTATTGTCTATTATGAGGATAACACTAATGCAAATTTTGGTGGAAAAAAGCTAGAAGAGGCATCAATAACATTTTTACAAAACTTAACGAACATTTGAACAAAAAAATTATTGGAGTAGGTTATGCAGCATTCATTCTATACAGTACTTTTCAAACAGCATCTGACTTACTTCCAAAGATCTTGAAAATATTATTGCAAATATGTATTCATATTTATATATATATATATATACTGTGCGTGTTGAAAGTTTGAAGGATTTTTGTGAAAGTGCAGAAATCGAATATAAAATAATTATTGATTATAGCAAAACACAATAGCTAGCTCTTTTTACCAGCTGTAGAAAATATTTTAAAAATATACGTTAAAATCATACTTTTATCACAAGATAAATGTCCAAGAATATTGCAGCTCTTTTTTGAAAATTACACATCACAAATTTGGCTTCAGTTCATCCACAAACAAGCTACATTTACTTCACAATGCTGTGAAAATTATTGAAGGGGACAAGATTTCAATTACGGAAGTGTCAAATGAAATCAATAATTGAAAAACAAAATTGTGAGAAAGAATTGATAAAGATTACGTTCTAGTTATTCGAAAGGACATCACTAGGTTAGACTAACAAGGTGCCATTAAACGACCCGATTTTCTGAAAGAAGTCAGAAATTTTTATAATAATAACTGCTTGGAATGTCTTTAAGAACGGACAGTTCAATTCGAGGATATTAAAATTTTTCATTGGGTGACATTAAAAAAAGAGATTTTTATGGGAATATGTCAAAAAAATCATTTTAATATATTAGTAACTATTTTCCGAAAAATAATATTTGCGAAAATGATCTTTTTGTCGACATGTCATTGGTAAAAAGATACGTTACTGAAGAAAAAATTAAAAGTTGGTTGTCTGCAAATGTGGAAATACACAAAAAGTGGGTGGAGTTATTCTTTCATTTTAAACAGAATAATATTCCTTATGAAAATATTTTTTAAATTGTAGAACGCATGCTCTCCCTTCCAGGAACAAATGCAGCAAGAGAACGCGTTTTTTCTAGTATCAATAAAGTATAGACTATTGAAAAAATGCAGTTGAATATTAAAGCTTTAAAATCTGTATTAAGCATAAAATATAATTTGACCAATGCATATGAGAGATTTCATGACATTTTAATAAATGATCCAAATCTATTGCAAAGTATTCACTTGGATAAAAAATATGAAAGTGAAAGAAAATCATAATTTTTTAATAAAATTTTAAATTAATTAAGAAACATAATATTTAAATTATAGTTTTTACAAATATTTTTATAGTTACCAATAGTTAATAATACATATATTTTTGTATATCTATAGACAAATATATGAATGTATACAATAAAATATATTTTTTTGATTTATTGGTCTGCTTTCATAATATTTAATGTTCATTATATTTAATAATAAAAATTACAATTCTCATTTCATTCCATTTGTCCCGCTTTGTCTCAATGAAAATGTGGTCACTTTATATTCAGGTTAGTATTAGTTTATAAATCAAGGCTTCACAAAATGATATCAGTCATCAATGACAGCAAGGCAATTTCAGTGTCTAAGAAAAGTACAGGAAACTAAAATATAAAATTTTAATCCTCATTCCAATTCTATGTTTTTAAAATCTAGAATTGAAAAATATAAAATCAAAAGCAAATAAGTACACAAAAAAAAAAAAAAAAAAATGTTCAGTACGACAGAAGAAATGGGAGCTTCAAATCATACTAAAACAGGGCCAAAGATATATACAGCAAAGTTAAGAAATACAATAAAAGACATTTCAGGTTCAATAAACTGGCAGCTAAGTGATAAACAATCAAACAATTACTTACAAGCCATAGCCTATAAGTAACTGTTTGATTCTTTATCAATTAACTGCCAGTTTTAAAGTTTATGAATGCTGCCAATTTTCCTAAATGTTAAGGAAAAAAATTATTAGAATGCCTGCTAATATTTTTACGTTGTTACTGAAAATGAACTGTAACTAAAATAAGAAAATTTGGTTGCAGCTACCGATAAATTATGCCATGTGTGAAGCAAACTTTTTAGTATTTTTATAATTAAATTACATTTCTAAATACTGCATTTCTCTAATACGAATAGATAAGATAATGTCTCCTATTTAGGAAAGAAACTATTCTCTAAATATACGATTTTTTTTTACCATTCTGTGTGATCATTATCCTATTATTTTTACTATGTTAACTCATGCACATTTCCATAGACTATCAAATGAAATGTGTTAAATTGAAATAGCCCATTGCATGTGCATTATTACAGAGCATTAATTATACCCCAAGAAATTCATACAAACACACAGCTTTCTTTAGCTTTTATTATACAAATTGTTTTAGTAAATAAAGTAAGAAATTTTAATTAAATATAAAAAATGCAAATAATAATTTAAAAATATCAGAATTTATTTTAATTAATACTAGGGAAAAACATCATAAATATTTATTTCTGTAAAGAAATTTCAAGAATAATTCTTTAATTATTTATCATATGTTCAGTTTGATTGAATAATTAAGAAAAAATATATTAACATATAAAAATGTCAGGTTAAAATTATATTCATTCCTTAAAACTGTATTAATTAAATAAAGTTCATGCATCATATTTTCTACAGCATTTGGATCTACTAATGAAAGCTGGCTAACATGACAATCAACTTAAGGTTGAATTCCTTTTAGGGCTTAGCAATCTGTGACTCACTGCTTTGGTAGAAAATGAACATTTAAAATCTATCAATCTAAAATTCCTAATTTTACCTCCATTCAGTAGATGATAAGACTTCTGAATGCTGGTTATTTGCTTCAAGTTTACTTTTACAAAATGGGGGAAAAAAGAAAAAAAAAAAAAAAAAAAAAAAAAAAAAGAGTGGAAGTTATATAAATATGAGTCAGTTTCTCTTGAAAAGATCTTCAAGGAAGATATTTATGCTAACGCACAGGTCAAATATTTTGCTTATTTATCATACATTTAGCTCTCGTTTGAAAAACTGTTATGAAAATATTACTGACAATAAGTAAAATCTTGTTATGTTTTATGTTAAATACTACAAAATCTTGATTCCCTTGGAGGATTTGTTATATAATTAATTTGCATTCTTTTTCTTTTTATTTATACAATGGCAGTTCAGAGATATAAATAATTAACATTAATATTTTAAAAATGACAATAAAACCAGCATTTAAACAGCAAATACTTTATTAGTAACCTTATTGCTATGGAGAAGTATGAAAATACAGTGAACCTTCTCCAAGATGATGATCATTCACAATGTCTGACAAATTTGTTCTTTTATGGTAGTATTTATTTCAGCAGGGAATGAACACTACCATAAAAGTATTTACAACCGATGTTTACGTTAGAAGAAATAATGTCAGTTTCAGAGGTAATTACTATGTGAGGTTTTCATACTTCTGTTGCACTAATAAATAACATATTATTTTAAAGATGTCACATGGCTAGTACTAATTCATTGCTTTCTAACATCACTGTTTTATTCTTTCCTCTGCTATAGTGTAATCTACTATGATGATTTTTAGCTTATAGTTTTAAACAATGGCCTCAAGAGAGAGCTTTATTTCCTTAAATACTGGTCTTCATCCATTCCAATCATAAGACGTGTATTTTAATCATAATAATGTTTCACAAATGTAGAATTTTATGAGAATAATTCCAATGCCAATACAATAACTTTGTCAGCATTACCTTTTTTTTAATATAATCTTCATACAGCAAAAGTTTGAATCACTAAAATACTTGTGTTTACCAAGCATAATTCAGTCCATATTTTTACATGCAAAATTCAAAAACTATCTCTGTAGTTAAGTTATTAGCTTTTCTGTTTATAAGTATTATCCATGAGAACTGCAAGTATTCATATCTTTTGCACATAAATGGAAAAAAAAAAAGACAAGAAAGGTTTTCCTTCTTTTTAAATCAGATGGAGGAGCAAGTAGTTTTATTTTCTTTTTATCTCCCTTCAGGATAATTTTCTTAGTGAAGTCAAGCATTTTTCCCCCCTAAGAGCTAGCAATGTGTATGAAGATGTGTTTTGGATCTTGCCAGAATCAAATTGTGCAGAAAAGAATCATAGCAGAGAGAGGCCTAAAGAATATCTAAATATGAATTAACGTTATAATTTCAAAAGGAAATGTGAATGAGTTATTCTGACTGGTTTTCAGTTGAATCTTAATATTAATGCAAGCAGTTTTTTTTTAGAACAAAGATATCTTTCTAATATCGAGCATAATTGAAGGCTATTTATTGAGGATGTTAGGTGATGAATATCAGTTTTTTCCTTAGTAGTCTTTCTACTTTAGTAAGATTCTATAGTTTAAAAAAGTTAAATAAAGAATTAAAAAGAATTTTTAAAGATTCTCTGCAGTTTCGTTTTTGCACTATACAGTCAAAAGTCGTTAATTCGGACACCCATAATCCGGAATGATCTATAATCCGGACCTCAAAGCTACAAACTTTCTGCGCATGCGTCGCGTTCACGCAAGCGCACAGGCGTTTACGAGAGCGCGTAAGACCCTTACGGCTGCGAATATGTTTGTGCGCATGCGCGTTTAAATTGTAACGGAGTTATACGCTAAGCTAAAGTTATCTAATTCAGTTAATGTTGCCGATTGCGTTGTTCCTGAATCTTCGAATTGGATCCGGCTTATTATTTTTTGCAGACTGTTAGAGCAATTTTATAAAAGTAAGCTTGAACTTTCGATTATGTCAAATAGAATTTCCGATATATATTTACTACAAAGCGAAAGTATGTTTTGAAATCCGAAATCTGTTTATCAATTTCACGCTGCTCTGCGCAGAGGGGGGGGCAGAAAACGTCATTATTAGATTATGATAGATTAGAAAGATTATGTCAAATAGAATTTCCGATATATATTTACTAATATGTAATTTGTCTCTGCAAAGCGAAGTATGTTTTAAGATCCGAAATCTGTTTATCAATTTCACGGCGGCCGCTTGGAAGGAAGTTGATCTGTCAGCACTATCCTTATCTTCAGGGCAGATGTTTTTTTATTTTATTTGGTTTATAATTCCATACTAAGTGTAGTATTTCATCTGTCTTTGATATGATTTAAATCAAGTTCCTCGTCATTATAATTCGCTTCCGATAGTGAAGAAAGTGACCCAGAGGTTACTAAAAACGAAACATTTCGATTGACAAAATTAGTCGGTATTCTAACACAGCAATTATAGGACTGAACAGCGGAACTTTGTAACTAAACAAGAAATTATGTCTGTTTAATAGAATTAAAGAGAAAGTATTATCACATGAAACGAAGCAACTTACATTGAAGGAAATGTTTAATAAAGTAAACAAATAAATATTAAGCTTTTTCTTTTTGTAAATTTTGATACCCTTTAGATCATAATTGTTCTTTATTTCATAAATTACGGTTTCATATTTTTAATTTTGTAATTTCTGCATGCCATCTTACCAGATTTAAACTGATGATCTAGAATCCGGAAAAATCGATAATCCGGAATCGCCGAAGTCCCGACGAGTCCGGATTAACGACTTTTGACTGTACTAATAATGTCAAGATAATGTGAACTGGCTTATCTTTTAACCTGAAAGAAACTGCAAAATTTATTAGTTTTAGTTATTAGGCAACTGATCAGTTGAGAATATTTAACACAGTAGTAAAATAAGGCAAAATATTACCTTAAATTGGCATAAATTTTAAATAAAATTATTTTATTCAGACAGATGTAAGCATTTCGAGGGTAATCTGACATAGGTCCCTCTCCTTTAGGAATACAATTTCTTATTTTAAGCACGTCTTTAATAAAAATGTTTAAGGAAGACTTTGACAAAAATAGTCAGTGCTTATATTCTAATATGGTGAAATAGTAGTAGTATAGAATATGGTGAAAAAGTAGTATGTAAATCTGCATTTTTGATAATAAAAGATTTCCACTATGTTATAGCTACAATTATTAAATTCAGTCTTAGCAGATATGAGTTCAGAAAACAGTTTATGGGGACGATAAAATACTTATGGCTCTTAACATCAACTTTTTATGTAGAAAATTTCTAATTGATACATAATGTTTAAATAATAAAATTGAAATATCTGCATCTGGAATGTAATACTTCATTATTGCGGGTAGGATTTCTTTTGTAGACTAATATTGTACGATTATTCTTGGAAGGTTTTGCACAATTCCTTAAAGATACTTTTGGATTTTGCAAAATAGAAGTTATTTCACTTCATGATGGTGGAGGAGGAAAATGGATCTAATTCTGTACATTCCAGTTAGGTTTAATGTAGGTCTTCCATGTCTAACAAAAATGTTCTTTAAATCAATCGCCTATTATTTTTGCAATGCGAACTGATATATTGTCTTTCTGATATATATATAACACTTTATTTGGAGCAAAGTATTCGAACAAATAGGTAAATTTAATCAATTAGAATATATTGATAACGCTTGACAGTAATTTAACTACCAACAGAAATTACTGTACTGAAAGATTTCTGAAATGCTGTATCCATGCTTTACTCTATGCTTTAGACTGAAGATTTCCTTTTTTTTCATGCTTCAAGACTTTAGACTGAAGATTTCCTTTTTTTCATGCTTTACTCGGAATGGGCACTGGTTATCAGTGGCTTTGCTATAACTCGCCAATTGTGACTATAATGTCAAAGAAACCCCTGACTGGCAAATTTGTAGAAAGGGATAAGTTCAGAAGGTTTAGTTCAATAATAGTGTAACCACTATTTTATGTTTTTAGAATCAATTCTTTTTAACCCTTTAGCATCTGTTTCAGTCATTTTTCTTATGTTTTCGGTTATTTAGATTGGGGGTAAGTTTCTTGCATTTCTAGGTATTTACATATGAGTCTAAATACATCAAAATGAAGTCTTGCCTTGACAGAAGATACACAAGCCAAATGAGCATAAACAATCTTCTTGTGAATACTAACATATCTTCCAATTATGTCCCATAATTCTCAACACATAGCTGCCTAACTTTAAAATATGAAGAATTTTTTTTTCTTTCCTGCTTACACAATAATATTTCAAAAGAACTTCCTTAAATAATTTAACTTAAAATCATTTTGCAATGCATAATTCAGGTTATTAAACTAATTATAACATGATTTTGATGTAAAATGTAGTACTATAACATATATATCTCACTTTTCTGAATTTAATTTCAGTTCTGCTTTTTAGCTAACTGCATCTGATTTTGAAATTTTCTTTAAATTTCAAATTTATGGAAATCCAAATAAGAAAAAGAAGCTATTGATTGTAAGAGTGTTTTTAAACATGGTAAAAATAAAATAATTAATTAATATGCATATAGTGTAGATAAACTTAGTAATGAATTATTTCTGCATTTAAAGCAATATTAATTATAAATTTTACATATTAAATATTAGTTAAATCTTCAAAAAATGCTCTGTAAATCTTTATAATAAATTAAAACAGTTTAGATTTTAAAAAATTATTTAGAAAATTTAAGCTGAAAATCACTTGGAAAAAAGTTAAATTTGCAGAAATTAAGTTTAATTTTAAAATGACACTGCCATTGCCTCAGGTTTTTATTTTCTTTCCCCCTTTTTTAAAAAATATATTATTATTATTATTGTAACGAATTTATCATCCCACTGAGAAAAAATTCCCCCCCCTTTTTTTTTCAGAAGATGCAATGACTACATTATTGAAAGGAAAACCATTTAAGGTTGTTTCATAATAAATGCCCTTAGACTGAACATTTCCTTTTTAGTGAGCTAAATGTGAAATAAACCAATGACTCCAAAGACCAAAAAGTTTAGAAAAGTTACTAAAGAAAAATACCCTTTCTCTGATATGGTACTGAAAAAATACACCGCTGGCCACCCAAATTGCAACACCAAGAAAGACAAGAGATATCATAACAAAATTTATTCAGTAGATAACATGCTGACCAAGTATGAAATGATTAAATTTATAGACATTTGTGAAGTGTGGTTCCTTCCAGAATCAGTAGCCAGAGTAGCCGCCATTGTTGGAGATCGCCGCTGCCACACGCCTTGGCATTGATTCAAAGAGACTTTGGATGTGTTTTTGGGGTACAGCAGACCAAGCAGCTTCTACACGTTGCCAAAGTTGATCTGGTGTGGCAGCTTGGGATGTAATCTGGGTCAATCATTCAGCAACGATGGACCACATGTTTTCTATCGGCAAAAGATCCGAACAGCGAGCCGGCCAGGGAAGCAATTCAATCTGGCGATTGACGAAGAACCTTTCGACAATGCGTGCCACATGTGGTCGCACATTATCCTGTTGAAATATGGCTGTGGGCAAGCCCTGAAGATAAGGAAGGACAACTGGCTCCAACACCTTGGAGATGTAGCGCTGGCTGTTTAAAGTACCGGCAATGCGTATTAGAGGAGTGCGAGAGTGATATCCAATACCGCCCCATAACATAATACCCGGTGCAGGACCAGTGTGGTAGTGCATAATGCAGCTATTCAGCATCCTCTCTCAATGGTGTCTCCAGACTCAAATCAGACCGTTCTGGTGTTCCAGACAGAAGCGTGACTCGTCAGTAAAGACAATTTCATTCCATTCTGCCATCCACATCCTTCTTTCATCGCATAATTGGTGGCAGAGATGTCTGTGGCACTGCATCAAGGGTAGACGAAGCAACAGACGTCTTGCGGACAGACCACTCTGCTGTAAACAGCGTAAAATGGTATGCGCAGACACTGGATGATGCGGTACAGACTAAATGTGCTGTGCTATGGTTCATGATGTGACTGAACTATCCATCACTGCCATACGCACAATGTTCCTGTCATCATGTGAAGTGGTGCACCGAGGTGGATGCAATCGAACACGTCGCTCCGTCGTATCCTCCTGCATCCAACGGTCACATATCCGCATTACAGTTGTTTGATTTCGTCCAACACGACTACCGATTTCCCTGAAAGATAATCCACCCTCTCGGTAGGCCACAATCCTTCCTCTGTCGAACTCGGATACTTGATCTAACGATGATCGCTGTTTACTACGAGGCATAATTGACCGTTTTTTGAAAAAAACCACAAGAAAAACACAATTGCCGAACTTAAAATCGTCGGAAATGCCAAGCCTTAAAATAGCACTTTGAAGTGGCATCACAGGCGCACGTGATGTGCATCTGCGGTGAAATTCTAATCATTTGCATATCTTACCTCCGCTAATGCATGTTGTAAATTTCATGTTATTTGCATGCTTCCTTCAGGGTGTTGCATTTACAGTGGCCAGCAGTGTATATTACATATATGTTTAAAAAAAGCTCTGAAATAACCTACCTGTAATATGAAATATAAGAGAAAAAAATCAAATATATCTCAAATACTTTTTTTTCTCTGAAAGGAGTAACAGCTGCAAAAAGATATGTCTACTTTTATGAAGAACAATGAAAATGCAAAGAATCAAAAAGAAATACTTATTATTTTCTTTCAAGTAAGTGGTAAAAAAAAATAATGGTATAAACCGATTCTGTATTGTACTATCTTTTCTAGAACTAAAAATAGTTTTTTTAAGTCACACTTTTGAAACTCAGAAGCAATTGAATAATTTTATAAATTTTAAAGCATTTTACAATTTTGCCAAAGATGTTTAATTTCTAACGATATGAAATGTGCAAAATATAATTTTCTGCAAAACAACAGAGAACTCATTGATTCCATTATCAATTTCAGTCTTCCATTTAATGTATAATAAATTTCATATCATTTGGAATGTAAAAATATTTTGCAAGGCAATAGTGCTAATTTTCTTTTTGAATTATTTTTCATAACATTGACAGAAAATCAAACCGTTTAGAATTATGTACTTCTCTTTACATACACTACTCACATTGAACATGCAACACCAAGAAGGACTTATCTGAAAATTAAGCAAATTTCAGGGTAGACGCATGTCACAGAGTTATTGGAATGATGTGAAATGCGCAGCTTTCCAGTCCACATTGAAGATGTAAGGAAAGGAACTTGCAGACTGTTCAATTTTGCCATTACTTCTGCTATGGAAACCATGTTCTTATCTCAGAGGATGCATGTAATAGCAGAGAATGCTAAGCCGTTGTCAATGGAGGCAGTTCCAACAGACAGACGATTTTATGAGGGGCATGGTGATCAGACTGAGAAGGGTAGTTTGGTCCATACGGCAAATCTCAGCTGACACACACCTGGATGCGTCTACAGAGCACTGGCTTTGGCGATGATGGTTGGAACAAGGAAATGTAGTAAGTTCGAGGAGTGTCGGTGCACCCAGACTGATGTCAGCACGCATGGATCAATGCATCTGCTGGTAAGCTGTGGCACACCTGCAAGCCACTCCTACCTCCATTCTGCAGCATGTTCAAGACACCCCGGATGTTCCTATACGGACCACAACTATTTGCAATTTTTGGTGGCTACTGGGCAGCACTCATTGTGCCCGCTAAGAAGACTGCCATTGACACCACATCATAGACCCCAACGTCTGCAATGGTGCTAGGCTCGAGCGATCTGAATGACGGAATGGTAAAAGGCCATGTTCCTGTTTCTCCAATGACAGTCGCCATGTATGAATCTGGTGACAATGTGGAGACAGGTCCAATATGGCAGCAATTGTGGAATGCCCCACTGCATGACAGCACGGTATCATGGTTTGGGGTGCAATTGCATAAGATTCCAAGTCACCTCTAGTTCAAATTCAGGGCACTATGACAGCAAAACGATAAGTGGATGATGTGCTGTGACTGGTGACACTCCCCTACATTCAGGGTAGTGCCCAATGCTCCTTATCAGCAGGATAATGCCCAACCACATACCTGCTCACATCTGCCAACGTGCTCTGCAAGATGTATAGATGCTTCCCTGGTCACCAGTCTCTCACGAATCGAACCCATTTGGGATGCGATTGGATGCCATTTGCAGACCCTGCTATTGCCGCATTCAAAAGACGAACTGTGGCAAATGGTTGACAGGGAATGAAGAGCCATTCCTTAGGACACAATCTGGTATATTCATTGACTCTGTACCTAGACATGTTGCTTCGTGTATTACTATTCAAGGTGGTCCTACAACCTACTGAGTTGACACTGTTCTCGCTTTGTATTATACATATCAATTCAAAATAAAGGTCACCTATTGTTCGTTTGCTCTCTTTCCCTGTTTGCTATCCCTTTTTGGCCACTCCTTCTTGGTGTCGCATTTTCAATGTCGGATAGTGTATATACCGCTACAAAAATTTCAAAGGAAATTTTTACACAGGTATTTAGGAAATAAATAAAATTTTATAAAAACTGCAGCAAGTCCTTTGGACACGTTGCAAAATTTTTACCAATATATTTTGACAATATCAGATATTTTTACAAATTTATTATTTATGTGTTTATAAATTTTTATAAAAAAGGATAATAAATACTATTTTGAAAACCTTTCTATCCAATGATCAGCAGGATTTCGATCCATAGGTCAGCAAGATGCTTCCAATATCAGTTAATAATATAGTTATGAAATAACAAAGAGAAATTCATGTAAAGAAACTGCCCCTTTTTCTTTAGCATTTAATTCAGATCCATTTTAACCTTTAATTCTAATATAAAAGAAAATAGAAAAGAACAGAGATAAATATCACTTCTATGAAATAAGAAAGAAAGTTATTTTTTTTTTCTAGTGCTTGAATTTACATTATATATTAAAAAGTTCCATACAGCCAGCCTGCTCAACTGCCAGGAATAGAATAAGAGGAAAATTGTCAATGGTTCATGGATCTGAGATATGGGTACAATAAACCAGTTGATCATTAATTTAGAAATCAAACAACAAAAATCAGCATTATGTTTTAAAATTTTAACAGGACTAGCTTCGATGGTTTTACCGAATCATCCTCATCAGATGCAAAAACAAAACAAAAAAAAAAAAAAAAAAAAAATTCTGAAATTTTTCAGATTTTAAATTACGTCCAAAGGGGCTTTTTTTAACGTTTTGAGTGTTACCTTTATTTATTAAATATCATGTTCTTTGCACTTAAACCATAAAATTCAGTTCAAGAGCAATATCGCAAAATAATGTTAAATTAAGCATATCTTTAGAATTTCGATATACACAGTCTCGCGAGCTGGAGATAAAAGTATTTTTTTTCTATATAACGTTGCCATTTCTCGCTTTTAAAGCATTGAGTTTGTAAATCGAAAATTCGTTAAAGTTTTACAAAATATAAAATCTATATAAAAACAAATAAACAATTCCAAATTTGGGATTTCAATGCCCATATTCGCAGTAGGATTTCGTCATTCAAAATTCGATGGCTCTATGTACCATTGTTTTATCACAATGCGAGAAATAGACAATCATTTATGCAGATTTTTCATTATTTAATTTCTTCAAATATAATGCAGGACTCTAACGTTTTGTGGCAACAGTTTGAAAAGTGAACCGACGTTTATGAGTCCGACGCAAAATGCCAAAACGAAAGCAATAGTCCTTCGGGACTGAAATCCCTTTGGACTAAAAAAGATTACTGTTTGACTTCTAAATTAATACTTGTTCGGCGTGTTATTATATCTTAATCAACTTATCATATTAATAACAAATGCTCATTTAACATAGCTTTTATGTATATATCAGATGATGTATCGTTACAATGAATTAAGTTGGAGAAATGCAAATATCAAGAAAAATCATAAGAAAAAAAATTATCAAGAGAAATCGTAAGAGAAAAAAACTTGAATAACATATTACGTTCTATCCATACATAAGTCGTTTATTTATTATTTCTTAAGTTTATAGCCATTCTCATTATATACTTCTTGAAATGTTTGATATAATTTATGAGTAGTTATATTATTATTAATGCAATATTTTCCAAAATTCTGCAATAAATTTTAACAACATTTTGATTTTGAGCTTAAATAATCTAATAACAAAATAAATCTCCCACAATGCAAGGGAATTGATTCAACAGAAACCTTTACACACTTGCTAAATGAACAAGAATGTGCAGTAAAATACTGCTGGCACAAATGGCATAAAATAATATGGATCTAACTTTTATAAACATTAAAATTGTCCTACATTTCCATTTTTATTTTAAATCTCGAGGAATTTTATTAAAAATTATCTCTCATATGATACAAAATACTTTAAATGTTATACAGATAAATAATTTTAGACATAAAATATGATTTGGTAACGGATATATACATATTTTACAACAATAAATAGAAATAGATTAAAGTTCACGTATATTTCATGCATTCATGACATAACAAACATTTTGTTAATCTTCTGACCAGTTTAGATATTTTTTACACTGTGTTTTAAGAAAGTATATTATATATGTCTTGAAATATGACCAAAATATTTAGGCAATAAATTAAAAGAACATAAATTCAGGTATAAAATAGCAGGAGCATTTTGGCACTAAATAAAAAAAAAACCTTTTTCTTATGGTAGTTTAGGAAATTTGGGCTTGTAGCAAAACACTGTGCTAGTCAGACAGTTAATATGTTGCAGATTCAAAAGGAAATTTGTTAAAATTTACTTTTTCTGAATTCTTACATATTTATAGACTGTAATTTTTTATTACAAGTTTTTGAAATTATCCCAAACTTTTACAATAATCTGTTGATACATTTATTACCTACAACATATATTTTTACAACATATATAAACTGAAGCAAACAGTTCGAATCCGTATTAAAGTTTAACTTACTCTATATTTTTTGGAGGGTGTATATTCTATACGTGTGACAATACAAGAAAGTGAAATATTTAGTAAAAATCTTCATAATGACTGATTTGTCAAACATAATTAAGGTGACTTTACAATTTTTGCGTTTATAATTTAAGTGGATTTGTATGCTGTTTGGGTATCTTTTAAACTTTTTAATTATTCTGCCAATACTGCTAAACTTTTTTTTTCACAAAATTTAAGGTTACAGTTATTTTCAAATTTTGATTATCTTCTATTAAATACATATATATACAGTCAAAAATCGTTAATTCGGACACCCATAATCCGGACCTCAAAGCAACAAACTTTCTGCGCATGTGTCGCATTGACGTAAGACTTTTACATCTGCGAATATGCATGTGCCATGCACGTAATACGTTTACGCTTGCGCGTTTAATGTATAACGGATGGTATAAGCTAAGCTAAAATTATCTAATTCAGTTAATGTTGCAGATTGCGTTGTTCCTGAATCTTCGAATTGGATCCGGCTTATTATTTTTTGCAGACTATTAGAGCAATTTTATAAAAGTAAGCTTGAGTTTTCGATTATGTCAAATAGAATTTTCAATATCTATTTACTAATATGTAATGGCTCTACAAAGCGAAAGTATGTTTAGAAGTTCATTAAACAAAAAGTGGAATCGCTGCAAAAAATGGATAAAGGCATATCTTTCGTTTCTCAAATCATTCTGAAATCTGTTTATCAATTTCACGCTGCTCTGCGGCCCGGGGGGGGG